GCCATTAACTTAGTTTAACAGCAGTTAACTTAGTTTAACAGGAAACTTAGTTTAACAGCAGGAAACTTAGTTTAACAGCAGGAAATTTAGTTTAACAGCTAAATACTTGGTTTAACAGCAAGAAACGTATGACATGAATGCGTCGATTGTTTAACAGCAGTAAACTTAGTTTAACAACAGGAAACTTTGTTTAATAGCAGGTAACTTAGTTTAACCTTACGTATGACATGGAAGCGTTGATTGTTTAACAGCAGTAAACTTAGTTTACACAGTATTGTATTTAATGATTATTTTTCAATTATAGCCTTTGGCTGAGGTCGATACCTGGATTTATCGACCCGAGAAAAGACATATTAACAGAGGACGCAGTCCGAGGTGAATATATCTTTAATCGGGTCGATAAATCCAGGTATTGACCGAAGTTAAAGGCTACAATTGTTTTATTATTTTCAAAACAGTAATGTTAGCAATCTGAAAAAAACATAGCAAAAAGCTGCGGAAGCGGGACGATACGTTCGTTCATTATTCTAATTTTAGAAACACCCTGTCCTTCAACAAAAATCACGCGCTCCAAGTCAATATCGGTTTTTATCGGTGGACACGTGATTCACTTCTGGCCAATCACTTGTCGGGAATAATATGAAAAAATAATAAACACATTTGTTGAATGCATATGATTTAAGAAGGATGGAATACAAGCTGGATATAGGTGCCTTCATCTGGGCATTTAGGTGCTAACACAACATTGAGACTTCCATCCGTAAACGGCAGCAGCGTTCGTGTAATATAGTAAATTTATTGTCAGGAGACAAAAGCTTTGGAAACACTTAGGTAACAAGTCAAAATACCTCTTTGTTGTTTACACACAATGGGTTTGGCCATTATTTGTACAGCAAACACACTTTATTCTGCTGTTATATTTTAATCACCTTGGAATAATTAACGTTTATCATTAACGACGGCGACAAGAAATACTATCAATTTGATAAGCATGCATTACATATACACCTTATCACCTAACTACCGTAGCGATTACTCAGAAATAATAAGTGATACAACAATTGTTCAATGTAACAGGCAATTTCCATAAAAGGTTATATCTTGGCCTTACATATGTAAAATGAAAGTTCGTCAAACTGTTCCAACTACATGAATACTATGAGCATCAGACGGGTTAAAGGATGCCCATATTGTCCATCTCACGTGACATCTGACAAACTGCACATGGGCCGCAACAGGCCAGAGTCATACAGTCGTTACAGACGGATCCCTGGGAAAAACAATGTGTGATGATTGATATACAAGTAAATGATAGTTCTTCAACAATACGGTAACACAAACGGTATACCAGGTACGTTACATATATATACTGTATACTGGTATACCGGTATATTACATATATATACTGTGTACTGGTATACCGGTAGATTACATATATATACTGTGTACTGGTATACCGGTATATTACATATATATATACTGTATACTGTTATACCGGTATATTACATATATATTCATACATTATACGTTTGTCGATGCAGAAAGCCAAACGAAGCACACTCTATAATCTGGTCGTTTCATCACTCCAGTAGTGACTTATCATTGGTACTAAGGGTCGAAAGATTGAAACATGTTTTTAAAGATATCTAGAAACTAGCAGAAGGGGAACGGTGACAATGCAACGCTTTATAACATACATAATTTAATCTTACATAAGTACTGTACTTCAAATTTGTTCTCCAAACACTGCTTGTACCTGTTAAGCGATGACCCCTACTCATATCACAGGAAATAGCCTCGTCTGTTAATACACCTATGGAATAAATATGGTCGCTGATACCATAGTAATAGTACAATGACTCTGCTCCAAAACAACGGAGAAAAAGTGTCATAACTGTTCATTAAATCACGCCAAATGCGGTCTGGATCGACAGGAAAACATCCCCCCCCCCCTCAATTTGATGTATGATTTATGGTATCAATGAATCCGAATGCTATGACCTCAACGCTGATTGGAGGGGGCCAAGGTGGCCAATCGGTTTAGGCGTTTGATGTTCTGCTTACACTAGCCCTCCACCACTGGGTCGCGGGTTCGAGGCCTACGTGAGGCAGTTGCCAGGTAATGACCGTAGGTTGGTGGTTTTCTACGGTAACTCCGATTTTTCTCCACCACAAAAACCTGGCACGTCCTTAAATGACCAAAGCTGTTAATAGGAAGTAAAACACAAACATACCGAATCAACGCGAAATGGCATGTCAAATTTAGTAAATCAAGTGGCGATTTGACGAGCCAAGATTGGGAAAACTTACTGATTTCGTTCAGATTTCCTATCAATCTTTCATGAAGTCTACATGATTTACAAAATATCATTATATATACTGTATACTGTTATTTTCCTGCCGAAGAACATTATTTTCCTGCCGATTGGCACCGCTCCAGAACAGTTGTGACGCAATTGCATGTTTTCTGGGACAGGGTAATATTACTAAGACCATGGCGTTATCAATTTCCCCCCTGTTTTAGGTGTATTGAGAGTTAAGGCTAGAAGCTGTGCTTTACAGCTCTTCATTATGCTGTCATCATACCTCTATTTGCTACCTATATACAATATATTCGTATCTGTTACGATAACCCTTCTCACTTTTTTGCATGATAAACTCCACTCACATTTGTCCACGATAGGACAATCTATTCGTTCTACTTTTTTACACCTTATCAGCTATATTTACGAAACTCTGATTCATTACCCACAATGCAACTCTACTCACATGTATCCCTCCTATGGTTCTGAGTCTGGACCTGACGTTGATGGTGCCGCCAGGGACACAGTAAGGCATGCAACAGCACTCTCCTAAACGGGAGGCGTTCTTACACTCTACACATACCAAACACCACCACGTCAACAGACCTGATGAAACAATAAATACACAATAGGCATTTAAATCAAAAGAGGAACATGTTTATACATTGGCAATTCAATCAATAATCGTCCACCGCTTTGGAGCAAATGATTATTTCGCATTTCCTCGCTTTATTTAATTCACAGAATAGTTTACCTCTTACGATGAAAATGTGATGTAGAACGCCTATCCATATCACTCACATATAGGTATGTCAGCAAAGCAATCGCACAGTCCCGTGGTCCAATCTCTGTGTCCTTGAATGTCTGTCAACATGAGTCTGTTGGTGGCAGGTTGGGGCTGGTTAATAATTACGTTGGTAACGGTCGATGACGATTGTTGGACCCCATGCTACGTAGATAATCGAAATAAACTTGTAATAAATTGACGAGGTTGATATTTTTTATATATTTATTTTTCAGGTTGGGAAAATGGTATATCAGAGTAAATGGGTAAAGGAATGCCCGTTACACATGGGAGGAGTCAAAACGAGAAGGTGAGCGTGTGAAAAATCACTATATCAAGATGTTTTTTTACAACATTTTGAGTTCTTATTAGATGCATTAATCATTCCATTTAAATTTAATAAACAAACATTTCTATTCGGTTTTTATAACTATAATGGACTTAATAAAGGTGACAATAGTATTATTTTAACAATAAAACAGTATATATACAAGACAAATGTCTTAACGTTCTTTATCTTAACAGGGAATTAAAAATTCAATTAAAGAACATTATTATATTCAAAAATATATTGCAAATAGTAAAGACGAAAAATATCTCATTAACTTCCAGAATGAGTGGCAAAACGGAAAATGATTTTCCTTTTTTTTTATAATATAATATTGCAATAAATAAAATGCCAGGAATTCATATTGTATAATGAAATGTATTATGTTATTTTAATGTGAAAAATAAAAATAAAATAAAAAAATGGTGTTTTTGTATTGTTTCTTGAAGAAAGCGATGTTAAATCAAAATCCTCTTTAATTTATTTGGTGAAAAGTTAAGCTTTCAATATTGTTATTTTATTTACGTTTTGATTTGTAGCAATTGCTCTAGTAATTGTATTGTTAAGTACCATAACAGTGCACCAGATAATAAGACACAATTTAACCCACAACGACAGTTTATTTAGGCAAGACTTAGCAAAAAACGACAGTGTGAAAACGTACTACCTCACCCACAACGACAGTTTAATTAGGCAAGACTTAGCAAAAAACGACAGTGTGAAAACGTACTACCTCACCCACAACGACAGTGTAATATGGTAGTGCTTCACGAACAACAACATTATAATAATGTACTACTTCCAGAACACTGTTTAATAAGGTAGTGCTTCATCAACAACGACATTATTATAAGGTACTGCATATTTATAAATAAACATCAATCCGCCTGAAGAAGCCCTAGAAGGCAGAAAGGCCTAGCGGACGATCTGAAAAAAATATGTTTTTATTCTGTATTTTCCTTCGCAAGGACTTATTTATTTATCATCTACTATATATATATATATTTATAGAAAAAATAAGATTAACGACCGACTAAAAAACTTGATTGTCTAAAAGACCATTTTTATGCATGAGTTGTAATTTCTAGTAGGTATCCATTTTGTTTCTCATATATCCAAACATGCATCATGTCCATGCCCATGCCCATGGCATAATGAGTGTGTATATTATGATTATGAGAAGTTTATCAAACCAATCTTGCTAAAATTAATATATCTAAACTTATGCAAAGTCTACATCCTCAATCCATATATCTTTATCATTTGTATGATAAACCACAACCCATAAGAATGTAACCCCCCCTCTTAAGTGTAATGCAATATTATCTTTATATTAAATTAATGCTTTGTCAATGCCAGATGACTATCGGCAACCCAATGCCTATTTAGTAGTTTCACCGTATACTACGGTATAGTACTGACAAAGATATATGTAAACCTTACTTTAGAATACCATTGTACATGTGGTGTGTTCTGTTTATCTGTCCAATTCTCCTTAGTATCTACTTAATTAGATACATTTCCTATTCAGGCTACCGAATTGTAATTAATGCTCATCCTGATTGTCGACCAAAAGTAGTAGCAAACTCTTTCATAATCACTATATAAGAGCTGGCATATCCCTTCTATTAGTGAATCTGACATTCTTCTGACATGTTCTGCAACCTTTGCCACAATACTAGATCAAGTCTTGTATATCAACTACTTTTAGTGTCAATCTTACCTTATTAAACATTAATTAGTAAAGTTATCTAACCTCTCTCAATATTTATAATGTATTTTCTCAGTTTTCCCTCGTGGTTAAATCCATTGTTTTCAAAGAAAATCCTCAATGTTTATAAACAATTCATGGTCTGCTGCCAAAACTGAAAAGTCAGTTATTAACTGGCCCACGTGCGTATGTTATGTGTCGCGCGCAACCACGCGTGATAACACTGTGTCCTAAATATTACCTGCTTATTTGAACATATGTAAGAATATGCCATAGCTAACGTTTGTGTTATAGACTATATGAGCCTGGTGTAATATTCTTGCACCAAATCTAAGCTCAATACCAGGAAAATGTAGTCGATAACTTATTCACTTACTACTTATGCGTATAGTGTGTAAGCCACAAAGATATTGGACCAAGTCATTATCATAGAAACGTTTGTATCAAATTTGGTTGTTTACACCATGTGTTGCGTCTGATGGAAGGACCTTACGATTCCTCCACCGCTATGGATATCATGTATGTATTTTTGTTACCGACTGTGTATCCTATCTTAGCAACCCTATATCCCCTAATATTATAAGAGGTACACAAGTAGGCGATCCATTTTGTAGTGGTCATTCTCCAGTACATATTAGTATATCATATTGTGTATTTAAGCAAAACTCTTATAGAGAAGGAAAATCTGGCATTATGACACTGCTGATTTTAACCAAATAAATTAATGTCTACTAAATATGGATTGGCAACAACTAGCTAACCAGAGAGGAGATGGAAAGATATACACCATGTAAAACTATTACAGTAAGACCAAATGATTATTCTTGGATGAACCATAACATCAGAACTAAAATGAGGCAAGGAAATAGAATTCACAAAAAGGCAAAAGTAACCAACAACCCTAATCACTGGACGCGCTTTAAAACAATTAGGAATGAAGTAATCAACCTTATTCGAGAAGCAAAACCTAATTCATTGTTAAACTTCAAAATTCTCTAGATGATAAAAATATACCCCTTGATAAATGGTGGAAAAAAGCAAAAAACGTTATAACATTTAACGATAAGTCATCCACTATCCCCCCTCCCCCCCCTTGAATCAAATGGTGAAGTTTGTTATCAACCAAGTGAAAAAGCTGCTTGTAAAGAAATACTTCACCATCTCTTATTCTGCCACTTAAAAGTATTATTTAACAAAACTCTAGACTCTAGTTTTCTGCCAAATTCCTGGAAAATGGCTAATGTTAATGCTATTTCAAAGGCAGTGGCTCTAGGAGTAATACTGCTAACTATGGACTAATTTCTATTACCTCTTGTATTTGTAAACTAATTGAAAAGATTTTATTTAAATACCTAAACAACTATCTTATATCTAATAACATTTTATCTAACAATCAGTCCGGCTTCAGACTAGGTGACTCCACTGTAAACCAACTATTATAAATTTATCATGAAATATCATTATGGGTCCGTGATTATTTTTATTATACGTAAATGACATTACTGATCTTGTTTCAAGTAATGTAAAACTCTTTGCTGATGACACCTCCCTATATGTCATTGTTGATAACAATCCTGATCAGACTGCACAACTTCTTATAGATGATTTAAAAAATATTAGTGAATGGACTAAACTATGGGATGTAAATTTCAATCCAACAAAAACAAAATCTGTTTTGTTCTCCAGGAAAAAAGAAATTGCTTTACCACCAATTTGATTTCGAAATGATGTTATTTCTAATGAATTCATTCATAAACACTTAGGTGTTACTCATAATGAAAATGGAACCTGCGAATCCCATAAACAAACTATTTATGAAAAAGCATATACTAGAATAAATATACTACGCTGTTTGAAATATAAACTTCACAGAGAAACACTTAAAAATATATATTTAGATTCATAAGACCTTTACTTGAATATGCTGACGTTATTTGGAATAATTGTACAACCCAACTAAAACTTTTGCTAGAATCTATCCACCTGGAAGCAGCAGGAAATATAACAGGGCTGAGAAGAGGAACATCACATTATTTACTTTATAGGGAATTAGGGTGGGAACCATTAGAAATTCGACGGAAAAATCATCAATTGATCTTAATGTATAAAATACTACATGGCCATGCACCTTTATACTTGCAAGAAACAATTATCCCATTTATCAACAATAATGAAGCAAATATACATTCATTGCGTAGAAATATAATATTTAGCCCTCCACTCTGTAGATTCCGTAGTAGATCAAACAATTGTTATCATAGATCTTTTCCCTTTAATGCTCCGGGAGTTTAATAAACTCTCACCTACTACAGTACAAGCAACCTCCAGTAACAATTTTAAGAAACTTATAAACATGTCAAATGTCAGTGAAGAGGAAGATGTGAGCGTTTTAAATGTATTAAAAATAAAGGATCAAGGAAGGGTAATATCATACGTTGTCAGCTTAGAAATGGATGTAGCAACTTAAAATTTAAAAAAGATAATCCTATGTGGTCTTGTGATTTAATGAAAAAAACTGTCTCACATTTTTTTCTTCACTGTCCCCTGTTTTCAGTCCAAAGAGCATTACTAAAAAGAACTTGAACTTATTGGAAACCATAACCATTTTCATCTCACCAACTTACTATATGGCTGTCAAATATGTAACGAAGGTGTAAATATGCAAATTATTAGCTCTATCCTAAAATATATATTTAAAACTAAAAGATTTGTTGAATATCGAGTATAATACCAGGCGATTTCACACATTTTGAGTTGATATATATACATGTATATTTGTAGATAATAACACTTATTTATCAATAATATTTGCTTTGAATCCTGTACAGTGTTCAGTTGAAGACCGAAACGTAACACAAGGACAGTGCGGTCTTCAATCAAATATTATAGCTTGTATACTATATGCGGTCTATAACCAATATGTATACCAATATATATATATATATTACTTACATTGTATATTGCAGACTGAACCTAATTAATACACTTTATTATGGGAGTAATCCCCTTTTCCACACCCACACCATATTTTGTATAATAACCTCTTAATTATGTAAATATCTAATTAGATTTAAGTACATAATTGGCAGTAGAACTATAGACAATATCTAGAAGAAATATAATCGGAATTTTAAGCAATTTGTTTTCTGATCATATCATTATATATAACTTTCTATGAACTTTATATACCTGCAATTTTTCTCATTACCAAAATGATGTATACACAAATATGTTACTACAAAATAAAATGTATGTTGATTATATGTACCAGAAATTAAATCATCGGGCCAATTCGTACATACTCATATTGTATCCGTTACTAAATACATGTAGTTATGTATATATCATATTTTACATCAGCTGCATGAGGTCTTAGAAATGAACAGTACTGTACATTTATTTTTGTGGTCACATATTGTCTAAAAAGTGGATCTAACGCCAAGTATGATACCTGTTTCCAATAATTAATTTTCGATTGAGAACGGATACAGATACAGATCTTCATTCTGTGTAAACCCCCGACCCCTAGTTGGGGTAGGTATTTTAATATTGTATATGATAATGTAAACAAGTGCTAATTGATAAGGATAAGTAATTTTTGTAAGTAATTTCAACTATTGATTATGATGAAGTCAGTCATTGTAAAGTTAAAGTATTATTCCTATTTTTGAATAACCTATTGTGTGTGTGGTATCAAATATGTATGCACTGATTGTATATGTTAGGAATTATATGTAAGCGTTGTGTTTTCATTATGTAATCAATTGTATTGTGTCTTTGTAGGGTTTATTGATTATGTTCCACATATTGTGGAAATAAATATGTGAACAGGAAATCTGCGTCGACCTTGACTTTCACTAACTTTGCATAAGCAAAATCTTTATAATTATAATATCAATCCATTATGTCTATATATCTACCACCAATGGAGAGAACTTATATAGGCTATAAGCCTGTTGTCCAATCCTTTTGACAGTGTTACATTCTTCTTTGTCAATAAAATATGTTGAAATGCAAAAGGTCGTACGTCACCAAAATCGACAGTGTAATAAGGTCGTACGTCACCAATAACGACAGTATAGTAAGGTCGTACGTGACCAATAACGACAGTGTAATAACGTACTACTTCACCAATAACGACAGTGTAATAAGGTCGTACGTAACCAATAACGACAGTATAATAAGGCCGTACGTCACCAATAAGGACAGTATAATAAGGTCGTACGTCACAAATAACGACAGTGTATTAAGGTCGTACGTCAACAATAGCGATAGTGTAACAACGTACTACTTCACCAATAACGACAACTAGATAGCGCAGGTGAGTGTAACCCCTATAAGGTACTACTTCACCCATAACGAGATTGTAATAAGGTAGTACTTTACAACATCGACAGTGTAATAAGGTAGTACTTCACCAAAACGACAGTGTAATAAGGTAGTACTTCACCAAATGACAGTGTAATAAGATAACACCTCACGAACAACGACAGTGTAATTATAGGCTGCTTTATCCAAAATGGTACTCCATTTTGAAGAGTATGTCCTTCTTTAGAAATAAGAAATATGTAAATACCTTATGAAAAACGCTGTAAGACCTTACCCTGAGACCTCGTCGCTTATTATAGCACGTGCTGTAGTCGATTTAGCCTACGTGCACTCAGATAACACACGATCTCGGGCTGGGAGAAATGTAATAACGCCAAGTTAAGATAACATTTTTAGTTGTTCCTAGTTACCCAACGACGCACTGACTTGCGTAACAGTGCTTTAGCCTCCCAGCACAATTTACTACACGATGGATCTGTTTAAATTGCTACCTGTCTACCTGATAAGCTACTGGGACCATTATGTAATGCCCACATGTGTTGTTGTGGTTCTGTGGAGCTGGCTAAC